ATGTGTAAACAGAAGCAATATGCACTTTTTCTACAGAAAGTGGAAAATTACATTTGTATTTTTCCTCACGCTAGATTGCTAGCTCTTCTGTGTTACGCCTTTAACTGTGCTGTTCTCCAGAATTTGTGAAAAGTCATTGTATTGGTCTTTTATTTCGCTACTTTTGCCAATAAAGTAAATGACGAATTGTTTTTATATCCAATCTTCTTGTTGAGAATTATTCTCACATCGTCCAAAGCAGGACAGTAAAACATGTAGTGTTCTTGAGTTAATATATGTATATTCAATATATAAGACCTTAATTATTTTATTATATATGTATTTTCTTATTGTGTTATGTAAAAGTTTTGTTGTATTATCAACTTTTAATCAGATATATATTTACATATAATACATTTGTACCAAAAAAGGGTCATCTCTCCTGACAAACTAAGCGCCATCTATAGACCGTTCCGCAAACTAGCAGACTAAGGTCGTTGACAAAGCTACAACATGTTGTTTGGCGAATTGAGAAGCGTCTACATGGAGACCATGGTTTCGGGATAATGGTCCTCTTTAGTCAAGGGAGAACAATATTTTAATGAAATCCACAAGGGATCAAATGAAATCTTCACAATATGCCAAAGAGGTGTTTAGCTGGTAGAGCGGCTAAGCCAAATCTGAAATGGCCACAACATGACCCACCTATGGCATGGTCGATGGAAGGCCATGACACTTACGTATGGAACACTAAACTTCCGTGTGAGATGGCCACAACATGACCCACCTATGGGATGGTCGATGGAAGGCCATGACACTTACGTATGGAACACTAAACTTCCGTGTGAGATGGCCACAACATGACCCACCTATGGCATGGTCGATGGAAGGCCATGACACTTACGTATGGAACACTAAACTTCCGTGTGAGATGGCCACAACATGACCCACCTATGGCATGGTCGATGGAAGGCCATGACACTTACGTATGGAACACTAAACTTCCGTGTGAGATGGCCACAACATGACCTACCTATGGCATGGTCGATAGAAGGCCATGACACTTACGTATGGAACACTAAACTACCGTGTGAGATGGCCACAACATGAACTACCTATGGCATGGTCGATGGAAGGCCATGACACCTACGTATGGAACACTAAACTTCCGTGTGGGATGGCCATAACATGACCCACCTATGGCATTGTCGATGGAAGGCCATGACACTTACGTATGGAACACTAAACTACCGTGTGGGATGGCCACAACATGACCCACCTATGGCATGGTCGATGGAAGGCCATGACACTTACGTATGGAACACTAAACTTCCGTGTGAGATGGCCACAACATGACCTACCTATGGCATGGTCGATGGAAGGCCATGACACTTACGTATGGAACACTAAACTTCCGTGTGAGATGGCCACAACATGACCTACCTATGGCAAGGTCGATGGAAGGCCATGACACTTACGTATGGAACACTAAACCTCCGTGTGAGATGGCCACAACATGACCCACCTATGGCATAGTCGATGGAAGGCCATGACACTTACGTATGGAACACTAAACTTCCGTGTGAGATGGCCACAACATGACCTACCTATGGCATGGTCGATGGAAGGCCATGACACTTACGTATGGAACACTAAACCTCCGTGTGAGATGGCCACAACATGACCCACCTATGGCATAATCGATGGAAGGCCATGACACTTACGTATGGAACACTAAACTTCCGTGTGAGATGGCCACAACATGACCCACCTATGGCATGGTCGATGGAAGGCCATGACACTTACGTATGGAACACTAAACTTCCGTGTGAGATGGCCACAACATGACCCACCTATGGCATGGTCGATGGAAGGCCATGACACTTACGTATGGAACACTAAACTCCCGTGTGAGATGGACACAACATGACCCACCTATGGCATGGTTGATGGAAGGCCATGACACTTACGTATAGAACACTAAACTTCCGTGTGAGATGGCCACAACATGACCTACCTATGGCATGGTCGATGGAAGGCCATGACACTTACGTATGGAACACTAAACTTCCGTGTGAGATGGCCACAACAAGACCCACCTATGGCATGGTCGATGGAAGGCCATGACACTTACGTATGGAACACTAAACTACCGTGTGAGATGGCCACAACATGAACTACCTATGGCATGGTCGATGGAAGGCCATGACACTTACGTATGGAACACTAAACTTCCGTTTGAGATGGCCACAACATGACCCACCTATGGCATGGTCGATGGAAGGCCATGACACTTACGTATGGAACACTAAACTTCCGTGTGAGATGGCCACAACACGACCCACCTATGGAATGGTCGATGGAAGGCCATGACACTTACGTATGGAACACTAAACTTCCGTGTGAGATGGCCACAACATGACCCACCTATGGCATGGTCGATGGAAGGCCATGACACTTGCGTATGGAACACTAAACTTCCGTGTGAGATGGCCACAACATGACCCACCTATGGCATGGTCGATAGAAGGCCATGACACTTGCGTATGGAACACTAAACTTCCGTGTGAGATGGCCACAACATGACCCACCTATGGCATGGTCGATGGAAGGCCATGACACTTGCGTATGGAACACTAAACTTCCGTGTGAGATGGCCACAACATGACCCACCTATGACATGGTCGATGGAAGGCCATGACACTTGCGTATGGAACACTAAACTTCCGTGTGAGATGGCCACAACATGACCCACCTATGGAATGGTCGATGGAATGCCATGACACTTACGTATGGAACACTAAACTTCCGTGTGAGATGGCCACAACATGACCCACCTATGGCATGGTCGATGGAAGGCCATGGCACTTACATATATATGGAACACTAAACTTCCGTGTGAGATGGCCACAACATGACCCACCTATGGCATGGTCGATGGAAGGCCATGACACTTGCGTATGGAACACTAAACTTCCGTGTGAGATGGCCACAACATGACCCACCTATGACATGGTCGATGGAAGGCCATGACACTTGCGTATGGAACACTAAACTTCCGTGTGAGATGGCCACAACATGACCCACCTATGGAATGGTCGATGGAATGCCATGACACTTACGTATGGAACACTAAACTTCCGTGTGAGATGGCCACAACATGGCCCACCTATGGCATGGTCGATAGAAGGCCATGACACTTGCGTATGGAACACTAAACTTCCGTGTGAGATGGCCACAACATGACCCACCTATGGCATGGTCGATGGAAGGCCATGACACTTGCGTATGGAACACTAAACTTCCGTGTGAGATGGCCACAACATGACCCACCTATGACATGGTCGATGGAAGGCCATGACACTTGCGTATGGAACACTAAACTTCCGTGTGAGATGGCCACAACATGACCCACCTATGGAATGGTCGATGGAATGCCATGACACTTACGTATGGAACACTAAACTTCCGTGTGAGATGGCCACAACATGACCCACCTATGACATGGTCGATGGAAGGCCATGACACTTACGTATGGAACACTAAACTTCCGTGTGAGATGGCCACAACATGACCCACCTATGACATGGTCGATGGAATGCCATGACACTTACGTATGGAACACTAAACTTCCGTGTGAGATGGCCACAACATGACCCACCTATGACATGGTCGATGGAAGGCCATGACACTTGCGTATGGAACACTAAACTTCCGTGTGAGATGGCCACAACATGACCCACCTATGGCATGGTCGATGGAAGGCCATGGCACTTACATATGGAACACTAAACTTCCGTGTGAGATGGCCACAACATGACCCACCTATGGCATGGTCGATGGAAGGCCATGAAACTTTCATGGGTCTCAATATTTAACGACGCCATTATTAGACCCCTGGATCCATCCGTCTTCCCACTCTGCCGTCTCCGACGCCCAGCCAGATCGTGACTGGAGATCCTCTCACGTGATTATCTCGCTCTGTGACGTCATATCTACCGCCATCGTGTTAAATGGTGAAAGTCCATCTCCACCTTCCTGATTCTCTACCTGTGGAGAAACATGACTCTTCATTCCGAATATCTTTTCATACAACCTTTTTATAATACAATATAATGCAGCTTATGATTTTAAAACGACATTTGAAATATATAACGCATGTGTTTCTTTTGAACGAAAAATCGAAATTTATTTTTGAGAAGAAATAACGATTATTTCTAACCTCAGGGATGAAGTATGAAAAGATGAATTGTGAAGAGTAATGATAAACGGAAAAATAAAAGTGTCCAGAGTTGGGAATCGAATTCACAGTGTTCCGCTTACCGGGCAGATGCCATGTCCACTAGGCTAATATCGATTTTTAGTTCAAAAGAAACACATGCGGGATAAATTTCAAATGTTGTTTTACAACCTTTCTATACTATTTTGTCTTTTCACATATGGTCAATTCATTGGGGTATTTTTAGTTTTTTATATATATTCAGTTTGATTAACTAAATTTTCATTAATTATTATTTTCCTTAGTACATGTAGTACAGGTCATAATAATAATAGGGGATAGTAGTTAGCGATTGCTTTTACTGTAAGTGCATTACATATCAACACATGTGCAAAGCAGTTCGGACTTTGGAACTTCAAATGTAATAAATTTAAACTATTTTGACGCATATTTTTCTTTTTAGAATAAAAATACTTTCTACTACTTTTACTATAATGATACCATGATGGGAAGTCCTGGCTCATCATTAGTGAGCCCTCCCAGCGGTTTCGCTAGTTTAAACTACCATGCTGCTGTAATATTGCGTTTAGGCTGTTTTCCTTTTTTTTTTTTCATACCGATACTGAAGCTAAACTCTAGGAAAAGAGTATTTTAAATGGACTATGGATATTATAGCTTTGAGGACAGTAGAAATAAATGTACCAGAGTGCCACGTTTGGTTACTTTCACTCACTGGTGGTGTTGGACTTTTGCAAGAATCGGGTGTCAATGGAGAAATTTTTAAAATTAAAAAATAAAAAGATGCCCAATGCGGGATTCGAACCCGGGTCGTGTCTGTCGAAAACCTATAGTGTATACCACTGCCCCACCAATTGCGAGGGCAGTATATAAGTATATAGGTATTAAAGCTATTTAACTAAGCATCCTTTGTGCTAACAAGATGATAAAACTCAGTCTAGTATAATGTGTGTAATAGAGCGTGTTCTGGAGATTAAATTAACGATACAACGCTTTCTGGCCGGGTTCATCAATCTATTATATTTCAAGATTTTTATCTTCTTTTGCAACTACTAAATTTTTCTTTATCTTGATTCTGAAACGAACAAATTTTTATTTTAAGGAAAAAAGGGTATCTTCTGATCGTGCAACAATAATTTGCTGATGACTTGCGCCATCTGTCGGAATAAATATTAACTTTTTTTTCTTCTTTTTTATCTCCACACTGGGTGAAGTAGAATGTGTCTGCCTTTGTCATTAAGACTGGGAGCACTACTCAGTAGCAGGCCACAGACTTAGCTTCAATATGAAATGGCCACCTCTGACATGAGGAACAGACGCCATGTGTAGCCACCCATAACATATCCCTGGATTAGGAGCCCTTAAAAGGTACTATCAGCCGGGCCAGCTAAACCCAGATTTTTTTAGCGAGCTTGTTACTGCTCCCCTTCCTCCTTTTTATCTGGATTTGGGACCAGCAAAGGCGAAGTTATAAATACCAACTAATTATTAGTTGGAAATTTTGTTGGGAGGATATTGATTTAAAGAGACAGAGGTCGCCTCTCCCGTCAAATGGCGTCTAGTTTTGACGTCTATTTTGACGGGAGAGGCGACCTTTGCCTCTTTAAATTTAATTATTAGTTGTTATTTATTCCGACAGATGGCGCAAGCCATCAGAAATTTTAGTTGCATGATCAAGGAGATGTCTTTTTTCCCCTTAATTTATTCGCCAGATCCTAGTACAATGTCACTCTTTTGTACTTTTGTACTTTTGTTTTTCAATTTTAATATTATTTATTAGAAGAGAGTTATGATAGTATTTTAATGTGTCAGCTTTTATGATCAAACCTATATTTTGAGAATAAAATAAGTAAACATGTTTTTAAGCTGAAGAAATCGTTTTATTGACAAATATTCTATAGAATCTTGGCGGGGACTGAAATAGATCACAGATAGACGCCAGATGTTATTTCGTCTTGATATTTTTAAGTTTCTCTCTTAAAAAGACTTTTCGGAAAAACAACAGGTGGTCTTGTCCAATGTTTTGAACATTCAACTTAGAAATGATAGGTTCAACACTGTTAAACCAAGTATTTCCAATATCTGTCATTTTCCGCGTTTAGTTGTTGTGAAAATCCATCTTTAAAGAATTAGAACAAATTTTAATGATGATAAATTTGCTTTTTATTTTCACAGATTGACGGATCTAATGTGTTATATGGTTAAATACAATAATATATACTCATGGACAAAACAAAAGGAAGTTGTACCATTTAACATATATATCGGGATTAAGACAATAATTCTGAAAGATATTACAGTGACCTTTATTGAAGACACACGAGATAACCAAGTGTGAACAAAATTGCTTCTGTCTCCTTTAAAAAAAAAGCGGCGACATCAAAATATGAAACTTTGATAAAACAATATGGATTATAGATTATAGTTACAAGGTAATAGACCTAATCCAAATAAATTAATAGTGTGTGACTTTTCGGTACAGCGTTGTTACCATCATCAGACAAAAGAATAAATTTTATTTTTCTTTTTTTTTTTTTAAATAATTTTATATATATTCTTATAAAGAGACAAGAGTCGCCTCTCCCGTCAAAATAGACGTCTAAAACCAGACGCCATCTATTGACCGTCGCGGCAACTAGCGGCCTCGGGTCGGTGACAAAGCCACAACACCAACTTTGGCAAACTGAGAAGCGTCCACCTAGAGGCGACCCTTGTCTCTTTAGATCAATTTCCTCCCGGCAAAATTTCCATCTGTATTTTAGCCATAGATATGGCCCAGCCACTTAGCCAGCTAAACACCTCTTTGGCAAATTGTCAAGATTCCATTAGATCCCGTGTGGATCTCATGGAATAAAGTTCGCCCTAGACTGACGAGGGCCATTACCCCGAAACGATGGTCTCTAGGTGGACGCTTTTCAGTTTGCCAAAGCTGGTGTTGTGGCTTTGTCACCGACCCGAGGCCGCTAGTTGCGGCGACGGTCAATAGAAGGCGTCTGGTTTTAGACGTCTATTTTGACGGGAGAGGCGACCCTTGTCTCTTTAGATCAATTTCCTCCCGGCAAAATTTCCATCTGTATATTCTTATATCTATTGATGTTAACAACCCTGTTGCCGAAACGTCACACACTATTAATTTATTTGGATTTAGTCTTTTTTTATTGTAGATATTGTTACATCATGATTAATGGCGTATTTCTTATATTATTTTTAATATATTTGAAATTTAAATTATATATTTATTTATTTTTATATAAAATATTCTATGATATTTATTTAAAACACAGATTATTTAGATTGTCATCATTTGTATTTAGGTACACGTGTGACTTCACTGCTCTCTTTGATGTGAGAAAATAAAAAAAGGATTCTGGTGGCTACTTAAAGAAGACTTATCTCGTTATTCCCTTATATAAATTTGTAGGATGGTTGAAACACGCTCTGGTAAGATGCAAGACCCAGCACAGGAGAGAATCCAGGCTGAAGAGTCTGCCAAGCCGCAACCTGGTGCAACAATATGAAACTTTTTGAGTTTTATCTATGAGTGTATTTTTTTGCAAATATCTGGTTATAAATTCAAATATAGCTACATTGACATACTAAATAAAACATTTTATTCCTAAGTACTAAATTTTGATGTATTACAATCATTTTATCCGTGATAGAACGTTGTGGCCCACTGTACGTATTACATCCCAAACACGACACCAGCCATCTCTGTCTTGAGCTCAATGTACCATCTCGGAGACCGTTAAGCCAATGAGTTCCTTTAATTGGTCCATCTTCTCTTATTACAATCATTTTATTCACGATTGAACGTTGTGGCCCACTGTACATATTACATCCCAAACACGACACCAGCCATCTCTGTCTTGAGCTCGATATACCATCTCGGTGACCGTTAAGCCAATGAGTTCCTTTAATTGGTCCATCTTCTCTTATTACAATCCTTTTATCCGTGATCGAACGTTGTGGCCCACTGTACATATTACATCCCAAACACGACACCAGCCATCTCTGTCTTGAGCTCGATATACCATCTCGGTGACCGTTAAGTCAATGAGTTCATTTAATTGGTCCTTCTTCTCTTATTACAATCATTTTATTCCCGATCGAACGTTGTGGCCCACTGTACATATTACATCCCAAACACGACGCCAGCCATCTCTGTATTGAGCTCGATGTACCATCTCGGAGACCGTTAAGCCAATGAGGTCCTTTAATTGGTCCATGAAGCGTGTCGATGGACGTCCAGGTATGTGTCGCCCAGACATCTATCCAGTCAGTATGGTGTACTCCATTCCCCTGTGTCGCGTAATGTGACCGAAGAATCTCAATTCCGTTGTACACGCCGTAGAAGTCAATCATCTTCCGAAATCGAAGATGACCGGCTTCTGCGACATGTACAACGGAATTGTAGATGTATATATATTATGATGCATCAGCGCGCCATCTGTTATGAAAATTCGAAACTATTATAGACCCGTATGATTCTTTTGAAAATTGAACAATTTCTACTGCCCTTACTGCAATGGAAAAAAAGAAGGTTCACCACTGATGAGCCAGGCCCTCCCTTTAATTTTTTCCATTGCAGTAAAGACAGTAGAAAATGTTTAATTTTCGAAGAATAATACGCGTCTATAATACGAGTAGTTTCCAATATATATATGTCGTAAACCCGGGTGAGACAACAAGTGAGTTGGAAGCAGTCGGGGTTGAGTGGCAAGGCGTGCAGAGTGGGAAGTCCGTACGGGACAGTAAGGACAAAGTTTGGCATCAAAAGACGCTCTCCCAGTACTTCTCAAGTGGCACCAGAACCAGGGGAAAGTTGAGCATTAACAGAGGAAGCCTGAAACCGCGGGGGCAGAGAGGAGCCAAAACGGCTGCCACGAGGGCCGCCGTGAAATGACCACGGACCTAGTCCTGAGCGGGTCTGTCCGAAATCCCAGCCGAACCTAACTGTCAACATCCGGACAAACGCCCCTTTTTGTCCCTCTCTGGATCCCCCGGGTGTTGATGCTCATTGGTCAGTCTTATGTGGGTCATCCTCCCCTCCCCTGGAGTCCGGTGGCAAACTGGTGTCACTTTGAGACGACTAGAAAAGACGTCATACTTTATTACTTACATATCTTTGTTTAAATTACGATATATATATCTCTATATATATATCAAAATGAATGTATGTTTGTTTGTTTGTTTGTTGGTTTGTATGTCCGGTATACAAATTCGCAGTAGTTCACTAATTCAAACCAAAATTTCCATACATAGGTAAAAAAAATACGGGGAAGACGATAGGCTATTTAAAAATATATATAAATCAATTATTAAAACTATATATTTTTAGTCAGAAAATGATGATGACGATATTGCTGTATCATGTTTGATTACACTGGTCAACAAGATTTTTGCACAAGAGAACCTGATTATGTTTCTAGTGTAACTTTTCATGCTGAACTCAAAAATCTAATCAGAAATTTCCCATCACCTATGGTTTTTGCGTGACGGTCTTTTTTTTTTAGTATTGGGATAAATACACTAAAAATTGCAAACAATGTCACGTAACTGGTTTATCAAAAAATATTTTTCTTTGTCCACAAAGAAATAGCATCTTATCTACATGTCCTGAATCCAAATATACCATTAGTTTTTTTCTATTACACAATATTTCTGAGATACACCTACTTGAATTTGGAAATATTGTTAATATATAGGCATATATGAACGAAACATATTTATTATTGAAAAGCAGTGACAGTGGATTTTCTTCTATACTTTGCTTGTGGTAGATCCCTCTTGAGTGCCCAGCAGTCGTCGGCAAGCATAGCGGGACTCCATTTACCTTGGTACCGCTTCTCCATGCTTGATAT